ATCGTATGGTCTGTCTTGGAGAATATCCCATGTACTGATGAATAGAATGTATATTTTATATTTGTTGGGTAGAATGTTCTGTAAATATCTGTTAAGTCCATTTGTTATAGGTTATAGCTTAAGTACATTGTTTCTTTGTTGACTTTCTATCTTGATGATCTGTCTAGTGCTGTCTGTAGAGTATTGAAGTCTCCCATTATTATTATGTTGCTGTCTGTCTCATTTCTTAGGTCTAGCAGTAATTGTTTTATAAATTTGGGAGCTCTAGTATTAGGTGCAAATATGTTTAGGATTGTAGTATTTTCCTATTGGACAGGTCCTTTTATTGTTGTATAATGTCCCTCTTTGTCTAACAGCTGTTGCTTTAAAATTTGTTTTGTCTGAGATAAGAATAGCTACTCCTGCTTGCTTTTGGTGTTTGTTTGCCTGGAATATGTTTTTCCGCTCCTTTACCTTAAGTTTATGTGAGTTCTTGTGTGTTAGGTGAATCTCTTGAAGAGAGCGCATACGTGGTTGGTGAATTCATAACAATTCTGCCATTCTGTATCTTTTAAGTGGAGCATTTAGGCCGTTTACATTCAAAGTTAGTATTGAGATGTGAGATACTATTATATTCATGTGGTATTTGTTGCCTGAATACCTGGGTTTTGTTTTGTTTTGTTTTCCATTGTAATCTTGTTTTATAGGTCCTGTGAAATTCATGCTTTAAGGAGGTTCTATTTTGATGTATTGCAAGGATTTGTTTCAAGATTTAGAGCTCCTTTTAACAGTTCTTGTAGTGCTGGGTTGGTAGTGGCAAATTCTCTCAGCATTTGTTTGTTTGAAAAAGACTGTGTCTTTCATTTAGGAAGCTTAGTTTTCCCAGATGCAAAATTCTTGGCTGATAATTGTTTTGTTTACGGAGGCCAAAGATAGGACCCCAATCCCTTGCTGCTACTATGATAGGTTTTCCTTTATAGGTTACCTGATGCTTTTGCCTCACAGCTCTTAAGATTCCTTCCTTCGTCTTGACTTTAGGTAACCTGATGACTCTGTGCCTAGGCAATGATCTTTCTTCATTGAATTTCCCACGTGTTCTTTGAGCTTCTTGTATGTGGGTATCTAGATCTCTAGCAAGGCAGGGGAAGTTTTTCCTTGATTATTTCCTCAAATATGTTTTCCAAACTTTTATATTTCTCTTCTTCCTCAGGAATACCAAGTTTTCTTAGATTTGGATTATGTTTAACATAATCCCAAACTTCTTGGAGGCTTTGTTCATTTTTTAAAATTCTCTTTTGTTTGTCTGTGTTGGATTGGGTTAATTCAGAAGCCTTGTGTTTGAGCTCTAAAGTTCTTTCTTCTATTTGTTTGATTCTATTGCTGAGACTTTCCGTTGTATTTTGTATTTCTCTAAGTGCATCCTTCATTTCCAGAAGTTGTGATTGTTTTTTATTTATGGTATTTCTCTGGAGATTTTCTCATCCATATCCTGTAACATTTTAAAATTTTCTTTAAGTTGGTATTCACCTTTCTCTGGTGTCTCCTTGAGTAGCTTAATAATCGACCTTCTGAATTATTTTTCTGGCAATTCAGAGATTTCTTTTTGGTTTGGATTCATTGCTGGTGAGCCAGTGTGATCTTTTGGCAGTATTAAGAACCTTGTTTTATCATATTACCAGGATTGTTTTTTCTGTTTCCTTCTTATTTGTGTAGACTATGTCAGAGGGAAGATTTAGGACTGAAAGCTGCTATTCAGATTCTTTTGTCCCACAGGGTGCTCCCTTGATGTGGCGCTCTCCCTCTTCCCTTAGGGATGTGGCGCTCTCCCTCTTCCCTTAGGGATGTGGCTTCCTCAGAGGCAAACTGCAGTGATTGTTATTTCTCTTCTGGATCTAGCCACCCAGCAGAGCTAATAGGCTCTAACCTGGTACTGGGGATTGTCTGCAAAGAGTCCTGTGATGTGATCTGTCTTCAGGTCTCTCAGCCATAGATACCAGCACCTGCTCTGGTGGAGGCAGCAGGGGGTGAAATGGACTCTGTGAGGGTCCTTGGTTGTATTTTTGTTTAGTGTGCTAGTTTTGTGTTTGTTGGCCTCTAGCCAGGAGGTGGCACTTTCAAGAGAGCGTCAGCTGCAGTAGTATAGGGAGAATCAGGCAGTGGGCGGGGCCATAGAGCTCCCAAGAGACTATGTCCTTTGTGTTTGGCTACCAGGGCAGATAGAGAAAGACCATCAGGTGGGGGCAAGGTTAGGTGTGTCTGAGCTCAGACTCTCCTTGGGTAGGGGTTGCTGCAGCTGCTGTGGGATGTGGGGGTGTGGTTCTCAGACCAATGGAGTTAGGTTTCCAGAAGGATTATGGCTGCCTTTGCTTTGTCGTGCATGTTGCCAGGGAGGTGGGAGAATGCTGGCAGTTACAGGCGTTACCAGCTCCCACGCAACCCGTGAGGCTGGATTGCCCCATCCTGAGCTGCACTGAGTTTATTTCCAGGCAGCCGGTGAGTGGGGCTGAGAACTTGCCCCAGGCTCCATGCCTCCCGACTGAGGAAGCAAGCAGGGCTTTCAGATTTCATGCCTCCCTGCCTGCCACAGCTTCTGTGCTTGTATCTGCACTCCTGGTTTGCCCGCTCCCCAGGTTCTGTCCAGGAGACTTTGTGTTTGGTGGAAATTGTTACAAAGTTCAGCTGGAAATTTCCTTCTCCTTGTGGTCCTTCCCCAGTTTCACTGGCAGCCCTCCCCAAGGATACCTGAGAGACAGAGTCAGAAATGACTTCCCTGGGGATGGAGAGTTCCCACAGGGCCCTTGCTGTTGCTTCCCCTACCCCTGTATTTGACTCAGCTCTCTAAATTTGTCTCAGCTCCCAGGCAAGGTCAAATTCTTCTGTGATCTGGACCTTTAGGTTCCCCAGTGAAGATGTGTGTGGCGGGGCAAATGATCCTCCTTTCACACTTTCACACCTCGGGCACTCACAGTTTTCTGGCTGTCTCCAGAGCCTGCAGCCTGCCTGTTTGTGTACTGGGTTCTAATGTGAAATATATCTTTTCACATGATTTTTTTCCTTTTACAGTAAAAGGGAAAAAAAAAGTAAGTCACTGCCTTATTTAATCATCATAAAAACTTTGTAAGGCGGGAATTCTCTCCATTCTACAAATGAAATCAAGACTATTGAGTTAAATAATTTACCTTTGGTCATGAGCCTGAATCTCATGCAAATTTTTTGACCTCAAAACAACCTCTTTTAGGCTGGGCACAGTGGCTCATGCCTGTTATCCCAGCACTTTGGGAGGCCAAGGCAGGAGGATTGCTTGTGTCCAAGAGTTCAAGACCAGCCTGGACAACATAGTAAGACCCTATCTCTACAAAAAAAATAAAAAATTAGCTGGGCATGGTGGTGTGCACCTGTCATCGCAGCTACTCGGCAGGCTGAGGTGGGAGGCTGAGGTGGATTGCTTGAGCTTGGGAGTTTGAGGCTGCTGTGAGCCATGATTGTGCCATTTCATCAGCCTGGGTGACAGAGTGAGACTTGGTCTCAAGGGAAAAAAAATTATTTTGGCTGCTTTCAGAACATTCAGACGTGCTCTTTTATGATGTTTGGTGTGAGGGGAGAGTAGCTCAGTCTCCATAAGCAGACTTACTGTGGAAGCCCAGAAGTCAAGGAGAAGACCCCAGTTTCTCTTCCTCTGAGGAAGAGAGCCAGAATGATTTTTCACCCATCGAAGCTTTCTCATTGCATCTGCCTCTGATGTAAGGAATGCAGCAAATTTTAAAAGGCCTGTGACTCAGAACCATGCTCTGTTCATATGAGTGCTTGATGAATACTGATTGAACTAGACCTTAGTAAACAGGAACTATTTGCATGCTATATGACTCCCATGGCTGGAAGATATGGTATTCATTTAGAATTTTAATTAATAATTAAAAGTCCCTTTATCTCTTCCAATGGACTCATCTTATAAAAGGTCTTATTTTGATTGTAATATCGCCAATGTGCTTGTTTCTTATAGCAAAATTAAAACTTATCACAACTTCTGCAAACAGGATGATGTCACTCACTATAGGGTGCATAACTTGATCTCATTTCTATTAAAAAATATTTATCTTTTGTGTGTGGAGCTGTTTCCTAACTTGTTACACAATTAATTGCTCCCACCTACTCTATCGTGTTCCTTCAGGCTATAGACATCACAGGATAGAAGGAAAATAACGAGATTCAAGGTAACAATCTGCATGCTGAAGGAAGAATTCTGCTTTCAGATTATACTAAAAACATTTTCAGTATTTCAGACATCAAATTTTGAATTGTTTTTGAGAGACTGAGTATATAGAGAGACAATGGCTAGACCACAGGACAACAGAACTCTCACCCACAACCTCTAAAGCAGTCATTCTAGGAGGCCAAACCCTAACCTCTGTAACAGTCAGTACAGGATGGTCAGGACTTGGTCAATGACTGCCGACTTCTCTAATTTTTGCCCCTGCCTCCAACTCAGGACCAATCAGATAAAACCAAATATGCTTCCCAAAATAATCACATAGCATACCCCGCTTCTAGATAGCCTGTCTTCAACTTCCCCATGCCTGCAACCCCAATCAGCATACCTGAAACCTCCCCTTTCTTTCACCATAAAGATTTCTCATGTCCCTGCCTGCCTTTGAGTCACTGACAAATGCAAGTGATGATGGTTGACACCCTTGTGACAGCAAATTCTGAATAAATAAGTAGCCTCTATTTGTATAGTCTTTATTGCCACACTTTCAAAAGTTAAGTCTTCTCTTGCTCCATTTGCCAGAAAATTGCTTATTATATTAATTCCTTACTTTCCAATGGGGTCCATAAGAGATTTCCTAAAGGGTTGACTAACATCTAGCTAGCTAAAGGGTTATTTAGAGGTGTAAGTTGTGGCTAAATCAAAACTTACAAATATTAGTTTTATTGTCTTAAAATATTTTGCTTCTTGTCTACTTGTAATCGGATGTGTTTGCCCTTCTTAGTATTATTTTTAAAAATCAGAAACAAAGCAACAATATATTAAGGAGAGTTTTATTGTAAAGATAGGCAGGATCTACAATTTTACATTTTTCCAAGTGTACAAAAACTCTCAGAGTAGAGATTTCTTTATGTCTGTCGTACCAGCAGACAGATTATTTATAAACTGGGAAAGGGAAAGTTCACTTTTTGCCAAACTGAGGCAGAGGGGGTGGCACCTTAATATCTTGGCCTCTCTCCAACTTCTTTTCACAATCCACCAGGTAATTGACTCCATCGATGACTATCTGAACAAGCTCAACCTTTGACAGTGAAGAAGATGAATGATTAATTTGAATAGAAGACATCTGCAGGGTATTGATTAACAGGAACAGCACTGGGATAAATGAGAACTTGCCACTTAGATGGACTTCACAACAATTTCTTCCTTCTCAGAGACGGAAGGCAGAGATATAAGGGTTTCTCTCAATCTTTCCATAGTTAAGATGGGGATACTACTTTGTATGTGAAAGCTTTTTTACTATATGAAAACCATTAATTTGCATCTCAAACATTTTTTTCCTATCAGTCTATACAATATCAGAGTTTGTCTAAAAGTAAGACTACAGTGACACCTTTGTGGTGTTCTTTGGCCTGGATCTGAATTCTGACCTGCCACTAATCTGAGCACTGCTTATGCTAATATAGTTCAGATGTCATCATTAATACAGTGAGTGTCTTCCTGAAAAATTAATGTCAAATGTTTAGCAACTAAATCATGTTTGTGCTGTGCTCGGCAAGCTTATTAACGAAATGAAGTTTTACAAATTAAGATATACTTTCTAAAATTCCTGTTCTTAAACTATGTATAGAAGTTTGGTTTCCAAATACTTGTTTTCCTTAAACCAGAGCACATCTACTTAATTTTTTTTTCCCCCATGGGATCACCTCCTAAGCAAATGACTTGCACTGCCCCCAAGGAAACCCAAATTAAGAGAGAAATTAGTTAATTCCAGACATACATTATAGAACTCAAGAATGAGCAGCAAGGATGGAAGAGATCGTTAAATGTTAGCTCTTAGGCATCACATATTCCAGCTGCCTTCCTATCTGTTTATATGTGTAAGGAAACAGGCTCCAAGAGAGGGTTAAATCAGAATGTTAGTCACTACTAACTGAAACACGTATTTTCTACTTATCCCTTTGATCCCTTCCAGTGTTGGTGAGCGTATGGTGAGACAGGTCTCTCACTCAATGCCAGTAGACTCTATCTTGGTATAAATCTGGTAGAAAACATGGTCATAAATAGGGCACCCTGGTTTTAACCCAGGAATTCCTTTCCTAGCAGTATATCCTAACTAAATAACCAGAGTCGTGATTAGAATTATTTATAGAGATGGTTAAACATAAAATCAGGAAAACATTAAATAGATAATAGATTATCTTTACTGTGATTAAAAATCATGTTTTTGAAGAATACTTAATATTGTGGGAAGATGCTCATGATACAATACATTGGAAAAAATTATAACCAGTATTTGGTTATAATACTAAACACGTATTATAACAATTTTTAAAGTTTTTTGAGTAGTTTTTAAAAAGAATGAAGGGCCATTTAGAATAATGTTCACAATGGTTATCAGGGTTGTTGGGTTAAATAAATGGTGTTTTAAAATTATTTTTTGGCATTTTCCTCACTTTTATAGTGAGTGCCTAGTATAGTTAGACTTAACATTTTTTAAAGCATTAACTACATTGTTTTCCAGTAATAAATATCTAGTTAATCTTAGAATCAACAGGGCTAGACTCCCAGATTTTCTTTATTCACTGCACCACGCATGATTCAGTAAATTTCAAAAGTTGTGGTATTATAGTTGCTTGTTCCTCAGGTACTTTAGCAGAGCTGATAGCACACTGGCTGATCTAATTGAGTGTTTCTTCCTTTTCTTTTCCTCAGTGTACCTACGGGTAGGGATATCAATAGGCAGTGAAATATTCACAAACTGGTAAGGAAGAGAGAACTTTGATAATCCACAGATTTTATAACCAGTCACTGAATTATTAAGAGTTTTGTTATGAGAAGAGGCTTTTAAATTAATGATGGGCATAATATGTCCAATGGGACCACATTCAGATAAGCTGGTATAATTTACCACAATCAGTATTTGCTTAGCTTTCAGCTGCATGTTTCTTACGTGTCATCTTTTTGCCTCATTCATTGTTTCAGGCCACACAAAGTCTACGAATCCTTTTCATCCTACATATTCATCACAGAATCCTAAGGATTTTATGAGCACAAACTTATCTAAACCTAGCACATAACATATTTGCTATCTTTAGCCTAAGAAATAAAAGTTTAGAAACCATTGAGTATCTAAGAACAGCAAAGTGAAGATGATTGTTTGTAGCCCTCACTAAAGAAAATTCAGAATCAAGAGAAAATTCCACTATTTTGCCACCCTCAGAGGGATAGCATAGATGTTCTGACTTTGCAGTAATAAAAAACTGCAGTCCTTTAGCATAACAGAGCTCCTGCTCGCTGAGGATTGTTGGAATAGCTCTCATGGCAGGTCAGTGACAGTCCCACTGTGAATTCCTATAGTTGCCTATAAATTCTCAGCTCACATTATGTTTACCTTTATGCAGTTACTTCCCATGGAAGAATAATGTTACAGAATGAAAAGCTAACATAACTCAGGACTTGATGGGCGAAGAGGAGGTCTTGAATTTTGTGAAAACGGTAAGGCTGTTTGCTTTTCTCTATTCTCTTAGGCTGATTTTGTTAATTCATGTTACAAAAGTGAGAGAGACGTTACCTCTGATCGACCAATTCTATCTATGTTGGAAATGTCGTACACATCTGCGACTGCGGCAGTGTCCACACCACCTGTGCCACGCTTCTGGAGTCTTAGGTTTTCCAGGATCTTAGAAAAGCGTGGGTCCTAGGACAAAGGGATAATACTTAAATGTGGTAAGAGGCAAAATCGATTCACAATCATTGGTGCATTTACTGACAAAAGACGTATAGTGAGAGATAACAGTTTATATACTTTAAGTTCTGGGATACATGCGTAGAACGTGCAGGTTTGTTAAATAGGTATACACGTGCCATGGTGGTTTGCTGCACCCATCAATCCATCATCTACATTAGGTATTTCTCCTAATGCTATCCCTTCCCTTCCCCAAACTCCCAACCCCTGACAGGCCCCAGTGTGTGATGTTCCCCTCCCTGTGTCTATGTGTTCTCATTGTTCAACTCCCACTTATGATTGAGAACATACGGTGTTTGGTTTTCTGTTCTTGTGTTAATTTGCTGAGAATGATGGTTTCCAGCTTCATCCATGTCCCTGGAAAGGACATGAACTCATCCTTTTATATGGCTGCATAGTATTCCATAGTGTATATGTGCCACATTTTCTTTATCCAGTCTACCATTGATGGGCGTTTGGGTTGGTTCCAAGTCTTTGCTACTGTGAACAGTGAATCAGTAAACACACGTGTGCATGTGTCTTTATAATAGAATGATTTATAATCCTTTGGATCTATACCCAGTAATGGGATTGCTGGGTCAAATGGTATTTCTAGTTCTAGATCCTTCAGGAATCGCCACACTGTCTTCCACAATGGTTGAACTAATTTACATTTCCACCAACAGTGTGAAAGCATTCCTATCTCTCCACATCCTCTCCAGCATCTGTTGTTTCCTGACTTTTTAATGATCGCCATTCTAACTGGTGTGAGATGGTATCTCAGTGTGCTTTTAATTTGCATTTATCTAATGACCAGTGCTGATGAGCTTTTTTTCATGTTTGTTGGCCACATAAATGTCGTCTTTTGAGAAGTGTCTGGTCATATCCTTCACCTACTTTTTGATGGGCTTGTTTTTTTCTTGTAAATTTAAGTTCCTTGTAGATTCTGGATATTAGCCCTTTGTCGGATGGATGGCAAAATTTTTCTCCCATTCTGTAGGTTGCCTGTTCACTCTGATAGTTTCTTTTGCTGTGCAGAAGCTCTTTAGTTTAATTAGATCCCATTTGTCTATTTTGGCTTTTGTTGCCATTGCTTTTGGTGTTTTAGTCATGAAGTCTTTGCCCATGCCTGTGTCCTGAATGGTATTGCCTAGGTTTTCTTCTAGGATTTTTATGGTTTTTAGGTCTTATGTTTAATCCATTTTGAGTTAATTTTTGTATAAGGTGTAAGGAAAGGGTCCAGTTTCAGTTTCCTGCATATGGCTAGCCAGTTCTCCCAACACCATTTAATAAATAGGGAATCCTTTCCCCATTGCTTGTTTTTGTCAGGTTTGTCAAAGATCAGATAGTTGTAGATGTGTGGTATTATTTCTGAGGCCTCTGTTCTGTTCCATTGGTCTATATCTCTGTTTTGGTAGAAGTACCATGCTGTTTTAGTTACTGTAGCCTTGTAGTATAGTTTGAAGTCAGGCAGCATGATGCCTCCAGCTTTGTTCTTTTTGCTTAGGATTGTCTTGACTATATGGGCTACTTTTTGGTTCCATATGAAATTTGAAGTAGTTTTTTCTAATTCTGTGAAGAAAGTCAATGGTAGCTTGATGGAGATAGCATTGAATCTATAAATTACTTTGGGCAGTATGGCCATTTTCACTATAATTGATTCTTCCTATCCATGAGCATGTAATAGTCTTCCATTTGTTTGTATCTTTTATTTCTTTGAGTAGTGGTTTGTAGTTCTCATTGAAGAGGTCCTTCACATCCCTTGTAAGTTGTATTCCTAGGTATTTTATTCTCTTTGTAGCAATTATGAATGGGAGTTCATTCATGACTTGGCTCTGTTTGTCTATTGGTGTATAGGAATGCTTGTGATTTTTGCACATTGATTTTGTATCCTGAGACTTTGCTGAAGTTGCTTATCAGCTTAAGGAGATTTTTGGGGCTTGCAGAAGAGTTCAGGGGGTTTTCCAAATATACAATCATGTCATCTGCAAACAGGGGACAATTTGCTTCTCTTTTCCTAACGGGGAATACCCTTCTTTCTTTCTTCTTGCCTGATTGCCTAGCCAGAACTTCGCAACACTTGTGTTGAATAGGAGTGGTGAGAGAGGCATCCCTGTCTTGTGCCAGTTTTCAAAGGGAATGCTTCCAGTTTTTGCCCGTTCAGTATGATATTGGCTGGGTGGGGGTCTGTCATAAATAGCTCTTATTTTTTTGAGATACGTTCCATCAATACCAAATTTATTGAGAGTTTTTAGCATGAAGGGCTGTGGAATTTTGTCAAAGGCCTTTTCTGCATCTGTTGAGATAATCATGTGGTTTTTGTCTTTGGTTCCGTTTATATGCTGGATTACGTTTATTGATTTGCATATGTTGAACCAGTGGTCTGTTATTATCCAGGTGCTTTTTTACCGTCATTGAAATTGGTTGAGAGGGCCCTATGTTCTTTTACCTTTGGGGATGTAGCAAAACTGCATGTCAATAGCATGTCCTTCTGGGTTATGAGATTCTAGTCTTGTTCCTTGTCTTTGCAATATGAGTTCTGACAAATGCATAATGTCACATATCCACTATTTCAGTAACATATATCATAGTTTCACTGTCCTTTTTTAAAAAATGCCTTATTCTCCATGTATTCATCTCTTTCCTCTTTGCCTCCCTTCCCCCAAACTCTTGCAACTACTGATCTTTTACTGTCTCTATAGTTTTGCCTACTAGTGTTTTTTTCTCTCACACTTTTAAGTAAGTGCTATTGATTTGTGTATATTGAACCAGCCTTGCATCTTAGAGATGAAGCCTACTTGATTGTGGTGGATAGGCTTTTTGATGTGCTGCTGGATTCAGTTTGCCAGTATTTTATTGAGGATTTTCGCATCGACGTTTATCAGGGTTACTGCCCTGAAATTTCCTTTTTTTATTGTGTCTCCGCCAGGTTTGGGTATCAGGATAATGCTAACCTCATAAAATGAGTTAGGGAGGAGTCCCTCTTTTTCTTTTGTTTGGAGTAGTTTCAGAAGGAATGGTACCAGCTCCTCTTTGTACCTCTGGTAGAATTCAGCTGTGCATCCGTCTGGTCCTGGACTTTTGGTTGGTAGGCTATTAATGACTGCCTCAGTTTCAGAACTTGTTATTGGTCTATTCAGAGATTCGACTTCTTCCTCGTTTAGTCTTGGAAGGGGGTATGTGTCCAGGAATTTATCCATTTCTTCTAGATTTTCTAGTTTATTTGCAGAGGTGTTGATACTATTCTCTGATGGTAGTATTTCTGTAGGATCAGTGGTGATATCCCCTTTATCACTCTTTATTGTGTCTATTTGATTCTTCTCTCTTTTCTTTATTAGTCTGACTCATGACCTATCTATTTTATTAATCTTTTCAAAAAACCAGCTCCTGGATTCACTGATTTTTTTGAAGGGTTTTTCGTGTCTCTTTCTCCTTCAGTTCTGCTCTGATCTTAGTTATTTCTTGTCTTCTGCTCACTTTTGAATTTGTTGCTCTCACTTCTCTAGCTCTTTTAATTGTGATGTTAGGGTGTCGATTTTAGATCTTTCCTTTCTCCTGTAGGCTCTGGTGCTATAAATTTCCCTCCACACACTGCTTTAGCTGTGTCCCGGAGATTCTGGTACATTGTGTCTTTATTCTCATTGGTTTCAAAGAACTTACTTATTCTGCCTTCATTTCGTTATTTACCCAGTAGTCATTCAGGAGCAGATTGTTCAATTTCTAGGTAGTTGTGCGGTTTTGAGTGAGTTTCTTAATCTTGAGTTCTAATTTGATTGCACTGTAGTCTGAGAGACTGTTATGGTATCTGTTCTTTTGCATTTGCTGAGTAGTATTTTACTTCCAATTATGTGGTCGATTTTAGAATAAGTGTGATGTAATGCTGAGAAGAATGTATATATTCTGTTGATTTGGAGTGGAGAGTTCTATAGATGTGTGTGTATGAGGTCTGCTTGGTCCAGAGCTGAGTCCAAGTCCTGAATATCCTTGTTAATTTTCTGTCTTGTTGATCTAATATTGACAGTGGGGTGTTAAAGTCTCCCACTGTTACTGTGTGGCAGTCTAAGTCTCTTTGTAGGTCTCTAAGAACAGCGCTCTAAGACAGCATTCCTCCAAGTGTAGACCCTTGACCAACAACCCCAGCATCACCTGGAAACTTGTTAGAAATGCAAATTCTGCAGGTGGGGCCTAGCAACTTGTATTTTACCAAGTCCTTCAGGTATTCTTGTGCATGCTCATGTTTGAGAACTGTTTGAACTAGAAGAGACAGAGAAAGGAGATAGAAAGAACCAGAGAGAGCAGAGACTACCTATCCCAATTTGTTACATGAGGAAAAATGTAAAGGCCTTATTCTTGAAGCTACCATCTTTTTCTTACAGACCCTTAACTTTTATTCTAACTAATACAAATGTCTTTTGAGGCAAACTTAATTTTTTCTTATTTTTATACTGTAGGTAGAGAAAGTAAGGGTTAAGGAGTGGGCAGTGATATTTTCTCCCTTCACAGTCACATCTGAGCTGATCCTGGCCCATTAGGGCCATTGGGCACATAACAGTACCTTGCTGAGCTTTGGGATCCTAACGTGGACACCAGCTCGTAGTCCTGTTCCAAGGTTCGAAGGACAGGTCAAAATGTATCCTAGGCGCTCATTCCACATGAACTCCCAGCCTCGTTCTTGGATTAACCGTTCTACCTACAAGTAGAACCACAGCGAACAAATGATAGCATTTTCCAACATCCATTCATTCAGCACATCCCTAGCACCAGTGGGGGAGAGATGTATACCCTCCCCTGGCATGAATGAAATTAAGGTAAATTTATAGTACTCCTTTAAGAGAAAATAATACCTCCCCTACCAGACTACTAAAATGGCCCAATTTAGTTAAATGAACCATGTAAAGCAGTGGTCCCCAACCATTTTGGCATCAGGGACTGGTGTCTTGGAAGACAGTTTTTCCATGGATCGTAGGGAGGGAATGTTTTGGGATGAAACTGTTGTTCCACCTCAGATCATCAGGCATTAGCTTCTCATAAGGAGCCTGCAACCTAGACCCCTCCCATGCACAGTTCACAATAGGGTTTGTGCTTCTATGAGAATCTCATGCCTCTGCTGATCTGACAGGAGGCAGAGCTCAGGTAGTAATACTGGCTCGCCCACTACTCACCTCCTGCTCTGCGGCCTAGTTCCTAACAGACCACAGACCGGTACCAGGTCCGTGTCCTGGGGGTTGAGGACCCCTGATGTAAAGTAGTCAACAGAGTACCTGGCACATACTGAGCACTCAATGAATATTAGTTGGTGGTATTTTTCATGCCAAGAGAGTAGGAGAATATAGGAATTCTCAGCAGGTAAGTCTATGGTCAGGCTACATTCTCTATCATCTCTATGCTTAGAATACCCCAGAGCGATATTAAATAAATCAAAAAACAAGTAATGATCCACAGACTTCCCTAAACCACAGTGGAATGGGGAGGTAAGCATAATCGCTTTCTAATAACAAGAGAAAGGCACCTATTTTCTGAAGCACTACCTTGGAAGTTCCACTCCAAAAAATGCCTTGAGACTGGGCGCAGTGGCTCATGCCTGTAATCCCAGCACTTTGGGAGGCTAAGGCAGGCGGATCACCTGAGGTCAGGAGTTCAAGGCTAGCCTGACCAACATGGTGAAACCTCCCCTCTCTACTAAAAATACAAAAATTAGCCAGGCATGGTGGTGATGACCTGTAATCCCAGCTACTTTGGAGGCTGAGGCGGGATACTCACTTTCACTTGAACCCAGGAGGTGGCAGTGCAGTGAGCCGAGATCATGCCACTGTACTCCAGCCTGGATGATGAGGGAAATTCCATCTCAAAAAACTTTAAAAACTTAATTAAAAAGCCTTGATTTCTAGAAAAAAAAATTAGCTTCTTGGAAGTTCCCATAGTGTCTTTGTTCAAGAACAAACAATATGGTAATTTTATTTTAATAAATATCCGGAAATCTCAGATAACCTCTTACTTCTTTTAGTCCACGACAGAATCGCTCAAATACTCGTTTCATATTGCCTCCTTTTTCCATTGAGATTACCCTGGTGTGATCCTCCTCATTTATCCAGATGAGAAATGTCTTATCATAATTATGCCTAATGAAGAGAGAAATATGGCACTGAGTGTTAATTGCATTTGTTTCAACATATGAAAACTCCCATTACCTCCCTAGCTTGATTGCTTCATTTCACCTTCCTCATTTCCTAGATGGCCCTAATCTCTTAACTGTGCCTGAACAAGTATGACAAAATAATGTTACTTTGACAGAAGGAAGATTAAGACCAACTCTCACCCTTAAAGATGTCATGTTTTTACCAAACAAGAATATAATTTCCCCTAGGTCCTCTGACTAGGATGACGGTAATTCAACTGCATAACATTTGGCTTTGACATAAGAATGTTTTGTCTCCTAAACGATTCAACCAAAATCTTGTGCTTTAAAAAGGAGATAGGGGTTACCTTCCACCCAAGATGTTTAAGGTATGCAGCATTTCACAGGTTTGCTCCATAGATCCTGCCTGTCCATCCCTACAGAGCAGCTGCATATGAACACTTTTATTTCTGCTCCTTCAGGTACACTCATATATATCATGTCAGGGTGCAGGAGGCAAAGTGGGCTGAGGACTGTTGGCCAACATAAAACGTGTGTGCACTAGATATCAGTTCTTTTAGGGTTTTTCTTAAATCCTCAATATTTTTTATGTTTTGCTCTTTTAATGTTATGAAACAGATTATCTGTGAGGTCAAATAATATGAAGTAAATTTTTTCTTAAAAGCCAGCCTTTTTTCTCATGCATAATTCATGCAAACCAGGTCATATTTCACACATCTTAGAAACATCACAATACTTAGATACACACACACACACAATTTCCAAGTAGTCTTTTTCGTTTTTTCGTTTAGCTCATCTGGGCATGCTGTCAGCTGCAGTACACAGAAACTCCAGGTTAGGATAAGCAGGTGGTCTCAAAGAGATCCTCTGCAGATATTGCAAATGCGAAAATGCTGCATCCATACCAGATTCCCCTGGCATCTGGCCAGTCACGGGCCATCCCAGCACATGTTAATAAAGGGGACACTGGCTTATCAAACAGAAAGTGGTCCTGTAGGCCAAAAGGGATAAAGCAGAGAAGAGAGACTGATGAGATTAAACAGGACTGCAAGTGTCAGGTAAACAAGTTCCAACTCACTTATGGGGGCTGCTCTGTCTTAGCAGTGGTTCCTAGCTTTGGCTGCCCACTAGAATCACCTGGTAGCTTCAAACAATGCCTACTTCCCATCCCCCAGAGATTCTGACCTAGCTGTTAGAGACTGGTCTGGGCATCAGGACTTTTTAAAAACTCTTCAGGTGATTGTAGTGTGCAGCTCATGTTGGAAAACACTGGGTTAGTCCATATGGAACTCATTACATCATTGTGGAGTGGGTATACACTGCCAATGCCAACCCTATGCAGTGGCTGAGTGAGCAATGAATGAGGGATACTATCCTGAAAAGGCTGTTCTACACAGTGGTCATTCTCTGTTTCTAGCATTATTATTATTTATTTCATTAAAAAGTATTAGATATGTACAATAATGATCAATAAATAAAAATAGTTACCATTAATGCTGACTGTGCCAGGCTCTAGATTACAGGCTTTTATTTCCTTTAATCTTCACAACTCTATGAAATAAGTGTAATTATTCTATTTTATAAATGAAGAAAACAGATTCACAGAGATCAAACAACCTGTCCAATAGGATGGTTGTAGGAAGTAGCAGAGTATAGATTCAAATCTAGACTTCTGTGACTCCCAAGCCTGTGCCTTTAACCACTGCAGTATACTACTCCACATATCAAAATCAAAGTCAAGACTAACTTTTTTTTTGCAATGTGTATACTATTTCTTGCATAGCTACACATGTACTCTACAGTGAGATATATTCAAATATGATTACACTGAGGTAAGAAACCAAGTGGATGTGGGGAGAGGAGTCCTATAGTCTCTAAGTGGGAGAGATCAGAGACTTCAGCCAGGAGAGGACTGTGACCTGCCACTGCCCAGGGAGCACCATGTCCCTTAAGCAGGAAACCAGAGTGGCTACTTGAGGTAGAGGGGGGCTTGTTCTGTAACTGGGCAGGAAAATAGTTGGCCTGGTGGCCACAGAGACGAGGAGACTAAGGCCCATAGGCCATATAGTTGGCCTCTCTGGTTTGGAAATGAGGCATATTTCTTAGCATTTGCGTCTTTTGAAATAAAATTTTGCTTCTGCTTTTTTTTAAGAGTTAAAAGTTACTTTTGAAAATGCTATCTTGTTTTAGCTCTGCTAAGACGAAAATAAGTAAGGGACTTGAGTTTTGTGCACCCTGGTGCCAGAGGGAAGCTGTGGTGGACATGGTGGAATCAACCCCACCAGGAAATGCAGAGGCTAACTCCACAAGAGTCAGGGCAGGCCTCCCACCTGGAATTTCCTTTCTAGATTTTCCTGGCTTCCAGAATTTTCTTTGGCTGTGATAATGGAAACCATCTTCTGGGCACAGACAGGACTTCCACACCTAACTGTTCCCATTTATCAACAAGCTAGGAGATCCTCCATTCATCTCCACCCTCCTATCCGTAGGCACCATCTCCATATTGGAGTTTCCTATGCAGATTTTATCCATAGAATATTTCAGTGTTTGACGAGTACAATGTATGGCCTCATCTTTCTTCCTTATACTGAACAAGTAGATGCTCTTGGGCTGAGCCCAGGGGTGGAGCCCTGCAAGCTCCGGGCCAGGGTAAGGGTTTGAGCAGAGCACCAGGAGAGGACTTCCTGTGCAGGTCAGAGCCCTTGGTCCATTTCCTCTCCAGGGAGCCCCATCTGCTACTCACATCGATGAGCCGCTGCTGATCCTGCTCCGTCATCTCGGACAGCTTGTAGTAGCGGCCAGCCAGGTCCCCCTTGAGGCCCTCCAGGGCGGTGATGGCCACGTTCTCCACCTCCCTCCGCTCCGCCCGGGTGCAGGCGGGCGGCAGGCTCAGCCCACGGATGCTGCGGCCGGTGCGCACCCGAGAAGACAGCACATAATGCTCATCGAACTGCCCTTGGGTGATCTGCCAAGCAGAGTGTGGGGTCACTGCGGCCAGCCTCACACCACGGTCCTGCCACAGCCACAGTGGGTTCTAATCTGCTGATCCGCAGTTTCCTTGGGGACCCTCAGGCACTGTGCATGACTGCACAATCCATAAGTTGGATACCTTCCGGAAGTCTTGGGGCAGGGGCCTTCGACTAGTAAAGAGGAAAGCTGTTTTAAATGGTGTGGTCTGGGGTCCTTGAACGTCACTGGGTGGTTTGGGATGAAAAAGGGAGTAGCTTTAGGAAAGGTTTAAAGTTCCCAATGACCAGCCCTTCCCTGGTTGTATTTATTTAAAAAAACAAAGACTTTGGGACCTTCCTAACCTTCTCTGTGACCCTCCAGGGGGAAGGCTGTGCCAGGGCAGTCAGTGCTTTCCAGGGGTATCTGACTCAGAAACTCAGGGTTTCCGGGGAACCCCTCTCTCCAGGGCTCTTCCCCTTGGGCTCTGGAGTGCCAGCTTCGTGGGAGGGAGAGGGAGGCTGGAGCTTACCTTGGATGCGTCCAGATCCGTTGTGTGCTTCATCACTCTGGGGTCGTAGCCATTGTGTCTTAGTTTGATGACGGGGTCAAAAAGGTCAGCAAACACCTGCAGGAGGGAAGATGGGCGTTTCCTCTTTAATTGGTTCACCTACTATTCAAAGACCTTTCCATTCACTTGCCCCTTCTATCTTAAAAGCCAAAGTTGATGCCCTCCTCTGAAATTCTCAGGACTATCATGTAGGAAATGAATGTGAGAATGGATTGGTTAATAATAATAATAACAAGAGAGAAAGCCTTTTGGAGGCATCTTGCCCCTTGAGACAGGGTGGAGCTGGTGAGTTCTGTTACCTTAGCCTCCCCCTGAGTGATTCTACCAAAATCACTGCCATCAGACTGAGCAAGAAAATTCTTATGGTTAGGAATTTAAGGAGTTTCCTAGACATGTTTGCCTTTGTGGGTTACAAGAAGCTACCTGATCAGAGGCTACACAGTTTTATGCTTAAGGGAAAGTCAGATTCTAAAGATTAAGCTACATATGAAATCTGTTGAAAACCTGGCTATGCCAGAAGAAAAGTACATAGCAGCAGTTTGGGCAAAGCAGGGACCTCTCACCCCGTGCGGACCTTCCCCAGCCCAAACCATCTCGTACAAAATCTATTCTATAAACAAAACCTCAGGCATATCCTTTACGTTTAAAAAAAAAATGTTAAAAGAAGTTGTAACAAAGCACCCTGCAGACTGGGAGCTGTGGGAAGTGGGGAGGGCTTTGGGTCCATAGAGCTACCGCTAGCTTGGGACCCAAACTAGACCCAGGGTTGTGCACTGCTGTACGTAAATGAGCCACCAGTCGTGTTTATTCAAGATGGCTCCCTCTCTTCTCTATGGCTGCCTTTCTAGGGAACTGCCTTCAGCTCCCTGCAACAGAAGAACCCAAACAGAAGAACCCAAAAGGGTGGATCTGAAGGAGGAGGGCTGCAGGCATTTGCCTCAGCCAAGAGGCTGCTCTGTGGAGGGGACGCATGGTGGCTGAGCACTGTTCCAGCCGACCACCCTGTGCTTCAGCATTGAGGATGAGGATGCCAAGGTCATGGGATTTATCCAAGAGACTTGGTGAATTCAGTAGTCTGGACTACAGTGATTGTCTAATCAGTAATAGGAGAGAATTCAATAATAGAAGTAATAAGAAGAGAATTCCTCATATAATAGAAGTAATAAGAGAATTCCTCATGTTCCTAAAGGTACACTGAACCCTCCTCCTGACCCCCACCCAATAAAGCTCAGCCACAAACACATCAGCTCCTAATGTCTTAGTGGTGAATACACACCATTTGATATTATTGTTTCTGTACCAACTCATCCCCTCGACAAGCTCAGAGTTCTGTCATGCAATTCATTCCTCCACAGGGAGGGATCTTAGCACAGCAGCAAGGGAAGCCTTGTCCCTGGGAAGCTATAGACCTCATTGTTTCTGAAAGCATTCCAGATGGTTCTGCTGGAGTTGGCTTCCCTTTATGGGAGCCCTTCCTGAGAAGGTAGAAAGTTGGCCCCATAAAGAAGAAAAGGACCCCAGGACTGTGCAATTCAGTCATATCCAGAGTATCCCTCCCACCCTGGAACCAGCAGCCAATAGTTTTACCTCATAGGACTCCTCGTCACCAGCCACCATGCCCACAGTCTTGATGAAGGGGTGGCCAGGGTTGTCCACTCCAGTCTGGATGCACTGGTCCAGGGTGTAGCCGTTGGGCGTCACCTTGTTGCGAAGCTTGGCATAGATGGCAGGGGTGAGGCACTCAGCCATGCAGTTGTTGTGCTTGCGCAGGTCTGGGTAGTCTGCGCTGTGTGGGGAGGAGGGCAAGCTGTCAGCCAGCAGCCCCTGAGGAAAGGGGCCAATGGAAGGACTTGGTGTTTGCCTATCCTTCCACTAGGCTCCCTAGTGGAAGGGATACTTCCAGGCAGGCACAGGGATACTTGGCTAGAACTGCCCAGGAGTCATACATGAAGACACCAGGTTTCAAAAAATGAGCAAGTTCCACAAGAGCAAGGACTTGCCTTTTTGAGAACAGTCCCTGGCTATTGAAACCAGTGTTCAGTAAATATCTTCTGGAATAACAGAAATCAAATTGGGTGCTGTCTCATCCTGGGGTGTGTACTGATTGAGGATTAGGAGATTCAGGACCACCACAGCCTTAAACACGGGTCATGTCACCTCAGGAATTCCCCAGGTATATGGTGGTTGCTGGCGATTCCCTCAGAGATCCTGATTTCCATAAGAGACAGTAAATGTCTCTAAGAGACACCTCAGTGGTTTTCCTCGTCTCTCATCCATACCTGCCAATGTGGAATTCTGCATGCCACTCAAACTCTGCTCAGCGCACAGTATCTCATGCATGGCAGGGTTCCAAGGGCTGAGAAAACACGTCTATTTTCATCCCTCTCATGCCACTCCTCCACTTTCCATCTGCAATGTCCTTTAGAGCTGACACTTACAGTCAGTACTACGATATCCCTTTTTTCCAGAAGGAGGTAGAGCAGTGAGAGAGGCATGGGTCTGGAACTGGGGGGCCTGGATTTGCATTTGGCTGCACTAGCTATGTGAACTTGGGCACTGTTTAATTTTTCTAGGACTTTATTTCATCACCAAAGGATCCTAAGATGAATAAGATACTCCATGTAAAGTGCTGGTCATACATGAAAGTGCTCCACAAATGTTAACTATCCCCATTGTTACTATTCAACTGGACTGCAAGCTCTAAGCAAGAATGATGATGCTACACTTCTTTGTATACACCACAGGTTACTGGTTTAACGAGCCTCAAAATGATTTTCCGTTTTACTTAGTCTTCCTCAAAAGCAAAAAGGACCCTTGCTAACAGTTAACAGCAGGGAAGGCATATTTCTTGCTGGTCTTTGAAGCTTTTCTGTTTGTTTTTGTTTGTGTTTGTTTTGTTTGAGACAGAATCTTGCTCTGTCGCCAGGCTGGAGTGCAGTGGTGCTATCTCGGCTCACTACAACCTCCACCTCCCAGGTTCAAACGCTTCTCCTGCCTCAGGCTCCCGAGTAGCTGGGACTACAGGCGTGCGCCACTACGCCCAGCTAATTTTTTTGTATTTTTAATAGAGACGGGGTTTCACCATGTTGGCCAGGATGGTCTCAATCTCTTGACCTCTTGATCCAGCCTCCCAAAGTGCTAGGATTACATGCATGAGCCACCGCGCCCAGCCTGAAGTTATTTTAAAGTCAGGAGCCCTTACCTTGGAGGGAATAACCTGGGCTGCTCCCGGATCTCGGCACACACTTTCTGCCGGTTCAGCAGGTACCCGGTGGTCAGGGCACTGGTGCCCATGGTAGCAAACAGCAGAGAAGCATTGCGGCCAGTTAGCAACTTAGAAAAGATACTGGCCATCTTTCCTCTTGGATGAGTGTCTGGAAAGCAGAGAAGCTGGATTAGATAGCTGCATAGGATGACCCTGAGCCACAGCGTAGAGGTCAACAGGCAAGAGAACTGCAGGAGCCATAGCCTCTCTTTCCGGTTTTTCTGTCTCTCTCTCTCTCTCTGTGTGTGTGTGTGTGTGTGTGTGTGTGTGTGTGTTTTCTGTTTCTTGCTTTGCTTTTTTCTTCATATTGCTTAGGAAAATCTGGGTAGTTTTAAACATTAATGTCTAAACTTCCTTAATGCCATGCCTTCTCTATGTTAATATGATAAAAAATAACAGCAGAGGATGTCTTCTTGCAGCTATTTGACAGACCAGGTGCTCTTTTGAACTTCGCCACTGCATCACAACTAGACCCTGAACAGGATGGATTTCTGGACTTCTGAAAGGTAGGAGAAATTTCTGAGGACCACCCTGGAATAGGGGCTGACACTGGGATTCCCCCATTGAAGTAGGACCTTTGAAAGAGGCTGAAGTAGCACAAAGTCAGCAGACCCCAACTTCTGGCTCCTGCCTGAAGCAAGTCTAAAAGCTCTCTGAGGAAATTATATTCATTTTAGGCCCTGGATTCCTACAGATTAAGATGAAACAGTGAACTCCCAAAGATCGCTAAACATACAAGGAGGTACAAGGAATGAGAGTCAACAGAAGAAATAGCAGATGTAGACTGCTAATGACTGAAGATGCTGGAACTGTCAGACAATAATATCAGTAAGCCCTATATTGAATGTTTAAAGTGTGGAATCATAGTTATGAGCAAGCAACAAGAGACTGTTAAGAATGACCAAGTTGATTTGAAAGAACCAAATTGCACCACTCATTATGATGCAGCTGAACATAGAATGAACTGGAAGATATATCTTAAGAAATTATTCAGAATGTAGCACAGAGAAATGAGAAAATGGAAAATAGATGTAAATTAAGAGATATGACGGATAGAATGTCAAGCTCAAATACACATCAAAGTGAAGTCCCAGAAAGAGAGAATAGAGAAAACAGAGAAGTCAGATTTGAAGAGGAATGGCTGAGACATTTTTAAAACTGATAAAAGAATCCATGATTCAAGAGGTATAACATAATCTAAGCAAACAAAAAAGACATTGACACCTAGACAAATAATGAAACTGCAGAATATCGGTGACAAAGACGTGGAAAGCAATCAGAAAAGACAGTTTACCTACAAAGAAATGACAAACAAGCTGATTTTTTTGATAATAGCCCAGGTAAGTAATATTTTTAGAAGCAGTAACTGTCAACCTAGAACTGGGGAACTAGTCTAACCATTTTTTCAAAAATGAGAGTAAAAAAAACATTGATAAAAAACAGATCAATAACAAAGGAATTACTAAACTATATGCTTCAGAAAGAAAGGAAATGACAGCATAAGGAGAGAGCCTGAAATGCAGAAGATGGAGAAAACACATATAAATGTAAATAAATATTTATATATTTATAATACAAGTACTGAACTACCAACAAATGAAACAGGATAAACATGCACAGACATTAGAAGGGCCAGTTAGCCCCAAGCAGGGAGCTGTGTTACGTGGCTCTTTGAGTAGAAAACAAAAGAGCAGGTAGTTCTCAGTACTCTCTATTTGATCTCCATGATGCCCAAATAAAGATTGTGTGGGCCCAGGATGGTGGCTCATACATGTAATCCCAGCACTGGGAGGCAAAGGTGGGCGGATCACTTGAGGCCAGGAGTTTGAGACCAGCCTGGCCAACATTGTTTGCTGTCTTTTAGTAGAGACAGCAAAACCCTGTCTCTACTAAAAATACAAAAAGTTAGCTGAGTGTGGTGGCACGCACCTGTAGTCTCAGCTACTCAGAAGGCTAAGGCATGAGGATCATGACTTGATTGAGCCTCTGTGTTCAATCAGTTCCTCCTTGTTCAAGCCTCCGTGGCTTGAACCCAGGAGGTGGAGGTTGCAGTGATCCGAGATTGTACCACTGCAATCCAACCTGGATGACACAGCGAAACTGTCTCAATAAATAAAAAAATAAATAAAAAAGTATGGATTTCCCTAACATTTGGAAGGCTCCCAAGACTCAGCTGCAAGATGCTCCAAGCTTAGATGGATTGATTGCTTCAAATAACTTGCTGATGTGTAAGGCTGTAGCTGAAAACCTGGGCCATCCAGTGAAGGATAAACAACAACTCGTAATAGAACCTTCATTTGGAAGTCTCTACTAAACCTGAATGTCCCAACTAAAAGCATCAAAGACCTTAAAAACATTTAAGAATCTTTATGTGTGCAAATAACAAATCAAGCCTTTTCTGAGTAGGGGTTACAGGATATGGGTTACAGGATAGCCCAGGAAATCAGATTATTAGTTCCTCTTCCATGCTAATATCTGCAAACAATTCTTTCAATTCTAAAGCCAATTCAATTCTAAAGTAAGTTACTACGAGCACACAAGATAAATTAGTCATTTATTGAAGTTGTCCTGGGGACTGGTAAAGACCAGCATTCAATCTCATCATGTAAACTTCTTTGCTCCCGTACTAGAGTTCAGGTCCTCATGTCAGTATCCCTCCAAGAATAGATAATGGCTCTTCAGTGAGCTGCACCAGTGCTTCCTGGTCCTTGCCTGCAGCAGGCAACACTAGCATACATCCTTTTGGGCTATCTTATCTGCCATCACACCCTCAAATCCACTTTCTAACTAGAGGGAGGCAATGCTGTCACTCTAGAGGTTTACTGTAGAACTCACCAAAGTGAAAGAAGCTTTGCCCAGATTCTTTCCAGGCAGTATGGGCCTAAACATAAGCCAGACATGGTCTTCCTAAGCTAACAGGAAGTATGTTTCTTTCTGGGATTGACCAGGGATGACCCAAATGTTTTGGTCTCTATTTTTCGTTCCTTAAATTGCCTGTCCACTGATGTGTTCAAGTCAGAGTCTGTTTGTGACAATAAATCTTAGGAAGTAGATACAAGAGGAAGGGGAGTGAATGGTCTCCATGTACAGCCCTGTGACCACTGGAGGTCTTCCTCCCTGCGAGGGTGATGTGTGAGTAGGTATCTGGCTCAAAATATTAATGTTTGAAGTGTCATCATATCCGTATTTTAGTTCCTGGAAGGAACTAATTTATTCTAATTAATTTAGAATTTATTATTAATTTATTCTGAGTTCCAATACCACCCTAATGTCTGAGCAACAAAGGATGATTCATGTGGATAATCCTAGGGAAGCTTTGGTTGTGGCTAGCAAAGCAATCTTGGAACTGAAATTCCTCGGTATCCTTGCTTTGATTCCTTGAAGAGAATTGATACAGACTCCAAGTTTTGGTGAAGCAAAGAATTCCTGCTTCCTTGACTGTTTTTCTCGCCAGGACACAAAGAGGTATTGAATTTCACTATTAAGATCTTAATTAGTAACCTTGTTTGTGAAATTGAAACAAAGGTCTCACTGAACAGGCTGGTGATCTGGCAATGGCTGTTCCATGCTCTCCAAAGACCCAGAATCAAGGCTTGCCATGAAATCACTTTTCTTCATGACTAAACTGAATCTCTCTTGCATGTTAAAAGTTAGTCTTTAAAAAGCTATGCAGTCAGAACATTGCTTTGTCTTACACATTTCCCTGTTACCTGGCAGGCCCCAAATGTTACATAAGCATTCTCTGCAGCTGTAACCCCCACCAGAAGAGGCTTGATTTGTTATTTGCACACATGATAACATGTGACATAAGTAAAGCTGGGAAGATGTGTGTTTGTAAGGGGTAATTAGTGTCTACCAAAGCAGATAGTATTTGGTTTTGCCTAGCTTCCAAACATTTTATAAGTCAGTATATCTTGTGAAACCATTAGGACAAGAGTTTGGAACAAAAAGAAATCTCAGGCTCATTGCAAAGCTTTTTTAATGTTTGCAATTCCCTCCACGTTCTGAGCATTATCATAACGTACTGAACTGTTCTGTTCAGAGACCACTAGGGAGAGGAGATGAGGAACCAGAGCAGCCAGGATGTTTCTCCCTGGGATAAAAGCTCAAGCATTCAGACACCCTCACTGTGGGCTTTGCTTCTGTAGCCAGAGGGGATTGGAAACAGCAGGAGCATCTCACATACAGCTTGTAGGAAACACACACGTTTTCCCCAAATATTCATTTTTGCAGTTGGTCCTTGCTGGCTGATCCAGCTTCCCTGTCAGCATATGGTGAGCAGTTTGGTGAGAGGACCACACTTCCAATCCTGGCAGGTACGGGTCCACAAGGACCCTTCTCCCAGGGAACCCTGGCTGCTAGATCTCACAAGACTAAGGGAACCTGGCTTCTCAACTTCGCTGCTGCCTGTGTTTCTTCCCACCATCCCCTCCCCTCTAATTGGCCCTGTTTTCCGGCCTCACATCTGCCACTGTGCCCTTTTTCACAGGGATCCCAGAAAGTCTTAGATCAGTTACAGCCTGGGATTGGCTTCTAGCCCCAGTGGGAGGCATGGAATTCATCCATCAGGAACTCTTTACTGAGACCCTGCTAAGTGTCAGGCATTGCACTAGACAACAATGATATGAAAGTGAGCAAAAGAAACAGTTCTCTCCTGTGGGGGCTTCTAATTCATTTGTGGCAGACGGTTAAGAAACAAGAAAACAAAATCATAGGTGGGGACGAGTGCAAACAAGGGAATAAGCAGCATATTATTCCAAGAAAGTGTAAGTGATATCTACTTTTAAATAGGCTAGGCAGGGGCAGAGAATAGAACAGCAAAGCCTTAAAGCTGGACAGATCTGGACTCGCCCCAGGACAGAAAGGAGGTCAGTGGGCTGAAGAACAGGGAGCAAATCACAGTGGACTTCAGGAAGGATGGAGGGGCGGGGTGGAAGGGAGCCAGGTGTGCAGACCCTGAGACCACCCTAAGGAGTCTGGATTTTATCCCAGTGCAGAGGAAATTTACATTCGTGCTTGCAAGTAGATGAGCTGAGCTCATTTTGTGAGTTACAGGGGTGGCTCTGGCTGCCAGTGGAGAATGGTTTAGAGGGACATGTGCAGAATGCAGAGAGAGAGAGAGCAGTCAGAGGCCCTAGAGGTGGTCCTGGTGAGAGATGAGGTGCTGAGACCCAGGTGAGTCAGCGAGGATGAGGAAGAGAATGTGTTTGCAGTCTATTCTGGGGCAGAACTGACAGGTCTTGCTAATGGTTTGGAAATGAAAGATAAGAGAAAATCAGGGATGCCTGAGATTTCTGGTCTACAGTTGGGTGGGTGGTGAGAGCCTTAGGTGTTGGGGCCCACTGGTGGGGGAGCAGTTGGAGGGCAGAGTGTTGCTGGCAGATGTGGATGATCTGTGTGGTGGCCCCAGGCCCCTTGCACCACAGCCACTGGGCCTCTTCACAGCTCTGGCCCTGCTGCGCTCCCTGCCTGATCCCCTGCTGCCCCATCTCAGCTTTCCCATCCCACTGGCTCCTGGGACTCTTTCGAAGGCTTTGTAAGACTTATAGTGAAGGCCTGGCCACCAGGCCCCATTTCTGCCCAGCACCACCACAGAGACTGCTATACCCAGAGATGACATCTGCCCTAAGAATTTCCCCACATTCTCTTCAACTCCCAGACAACCTCAGATGTAGCTGCTCTCTCAGGCCTTCAATGTACATCTCCACCCAAATGAGTAATAGTTGCATTACAAGGAGGAAAGGAGAGGGAACCATTGGGTATCTGCTGTACCAGGCACATTATATGCTATTGTCCTGTTTTCCAGATGAAGCCAGATTCAGAGAAAGTGTAAGTGATGTCTACTATCTGTGAAGTTAAATGACTTGTCCAGGCTTATGCTGCTAGGGAGTGACAGAGATAGAATTTGAATGCACACCTATCTGACTCCACCTCTCATGTTCTTTCCACATGGCCAGCAAGCTCTGCTGTCCCACCTCACACTTCTGGGAGGTGGCTACCCCCTCTTTCTGCCCCCCCTTTCTGGATCTTGACAAGGGGTTCTGCCCTGCCCCAGCTGTCAAAGCCTGTGGCAGCTGCCAAAAAACCTCAACACAGGCGTACTTTGGACCTCCATCATGTGTTGATGTCACAGATGCTGTACCAGGCATTTGACTCCTTGATCTAAAGCCAGGATTCCTGGCCAACATGGCGAAACCCCATCTCTACTAAAAAACAAAAATTAGCTGGGTGTGGTGGTGGGCACCTGTAATCCCAGCTACTTGGGAGGCTGAGGCAGGAGAATTACTTGAACCCGGAAAGCGGAGGCTGCAGTGAGCAGAGATTGTGCCTCTGCACTACAGCTTGGGCTACAGAGTAAGACTGTCAAAACAAAACAAAACAAACTAGTGAGGGGGATGCATGCCCACACAAAGGAATCCTGACAGAGGAACAATGGCTTGGTCCGTTTCTCCTCCTATGTAGCACTGTGATAAAGGAACGCCTTTCAGATATGTGCCTTGATGGAGCCAGTGGGTGGAGAAGGAAGGGCAATGAGAGCTTTGAAGACAAGCCGCTGATACCCTCATGTATCATCACAGTGGCGCCCTTTGGGAGCCTGCTATGGTATACTTATCCACTCGGGGAAGAGGAATTCTCTTACCCACAATTTTGTCTTCAAAATTGAAATTCCTTTGGGCAGAGCCTAACAGAGAGTTGCCTCATTTCATGTAACTGTAGCATATGTAGTGTAGAAGCTCCAACATGTTTTCGAGGCAGTCTGAGGGCTCTTTCTGGAAATGCCAGGCAGATGACATCTGCGTCTGATTTTACTTTGTCTTACAACCAGGCTAAGACCTCCAGCAGCATCAGACTGTGGAACTGCTCAGGTCAAGGCAGACAGGTAGAAAGGCCCACATAGATAGTGGTTACTCATTCCAAGAACACAGAGGCCCACACCAGAAGGGGCAGATGATGTTAATGGTGTGAGGCAGGCAGTTATGTCTTGTGACTTCCGTGAGCCATGATGCATTACACTAAGGAACTTTATCTCACTTGGCTTGTGACTTGTTAGTGAAAAGTGGCCTGCCGGCCTGTGCTGTGGAGGACTTGCAGAAAACTCCCCAGCCACCAGCAGAAGGTTCAGACATCTCCCATAGTTCCTCCCCAACCTGTTTAGTGTGAAATGGCACAAAGGGAAACATTTCTTTTGATCTGTTTTTGGGGAAAGGCAAATGTCAACTAAATAGATCATATTAGGGACTGGGCACGGAGGCTTATGCCTGTAATCCCAGCACTTTGGGAGGCCAAGGCAGGCAGATCACCTGAGGTCAGGAGTTCGAGACCAGCCTGGCCAACATGGCGAAACCCTGTCTCTATTAAAAATTCAAAAAATATTAGCCAGGCATGGTAGCATATGCCCATAAACCCAGCCACTTGGGAGGCTGAGGCATGAGAATCGCTTGAACCCAGGAGTCGGAGGTTGCAGTGAGGCGAGATCGCACCACTGCACTCCAGCAGCCTGAGTGATAGAGACTGTCTCTCTCTCTATATATAGATACATATATATATACACACACACACACACACACACATATCCTATTAGGAATTTCATGAAAGCTCGCACATCATTCAGGGCCTGTTACAGGGGGCCAGAACATCAGGACAGAGTAGCCAGCCTCACATTCAGCTCCATTGCACTAGAGTCTTGCATGATCTCAATTTGAAAAACACCCATGTGTATCTATATTTGTATCTCTTCTAATATACTGTATGTGACTTTTTAAAATATTGGTTTGCCGTTTCTATTTTGTGCTAATGCAACAAATCTAATTTGTTTTAGAAAAAGTTATTACTGTTTCTTGCTTCTTATCACCCCCTACCGTTTGGACTTTGTTGTCCATCTTTCTCTGCCTAATTATACCACAGCCTGGTGCCTCAATCTCCACAAAATCTGTTCCCTTCTAGCTCAAGATGACTGCATTCTCTCTCAGTTCCCAGTGCACTCACTGGCTGCTCATTCACCTGCCCTTGTGCTCTGTGCCTTTTTGGCATCTGCGGGTAAACTCGATGCCACATATCTCTATCCTGTTAACTCCTGTTTGTATTGTCTTCCCAAGGGACCTCTCTTATGGCCATGCTGGGTTCCTCCCCTTACCCACATCTGCCAAGCATAGAAATCAAGGCAACATTCTCAGTCCCTTTAAGGGAAGTTCCAGGTACCTAGCTAGTCCTACAACCAGCAATTAGGGAAGTTAACGAATAACCTGCTAAACAAGAAGATAATAACTTAAAAGCCACCCCAAGTCAGAGTCACAAAATGTTTGATTCCCTGTAGAAACTAAAGACAGCATCTTGACATATGCCCTTGCATTGCTTTTCAGAAACCAGTTCCCACACCAGATGGAAAATGCTGACCACTGTCATAGACCTCAGAAAGACTGAAACCAAAAAATAGATAAGGAAGTTCCAGAAATTCCCTAGCTCTTAACTCATTATGGATACCCCCTCACTCCTGCTTTAAAAACCCTTGCTTATAAGCTAGCAGGGAGCTCAGATGTTAAGTGCTAGGTACCCATTCTTCTTGCTTGGCACCCGGCAATAAACGCCTTTTTCTCACTACAAATCCCAGCATCAATGTTTGGCTTTTTTGGCATGCTGGGCGACCAGAACCAACCCCTTCCTTGTGTACTTGCATCTGACTCTGATGAGCCTATGTATGTCAAGCTGGTCGAGGCCCTTTGTGCTGAACACCCAATCAACCTAATTCAGGTGGATGACAACAAGAAACTAGGGGAATGAGTAGGTGGCATTTGCAAAATTGACAGAGAGAGGAAACCCTGTAAAGTGGTTGGTTGTACTTGTGTAGTAGTTAAGGACTATGGCAAGGAGTCACACGCCAAGGATGTCATCAAAGAGTACTTCAAATGCAAGAAATGAACAAATCTTTGGCTCACAAACCCCACAAACTTTTGAATGAAATCTACTTATATGATGTGACATACATTTCTTTCAGACATGGATTTTGAAATCCTATCAGTAAAAGCCACCAGGTGAGACTGACAAGTCTGGTTTTGAGCATGTACCTGCTTTGTTTTCTGATATCTGCAAATTAGGGTGACCCAGTGCAGGCTCCTGACATTTTGACCATGACAGGCTGGCTGAAGCCTGGGAGCTCGTTGTGCCCATCCTCAGAGATGTCCGTGTGTGACACAGCAGAGACTACCCCAGAGATAACAGATGAAAGCCAGCAGAGTACAAGGCATAAATGTGCGTGTCCTTCTGTTTCTTTTTTCTTTTTTAAGGGGTTCTGACTGAGCAGGCAGATAGGGAAGGAAGAATCAGATGAGGAGCAAGTGCTGGGTATTGGGGAAACAATTTAAATTTCCTACCACCCCAGAATTTCCTCTCTATAAAATATAGGAGAGAAAAAAATTTATTATTGAATAAACATGAAACTAGTGATGCGTATCTTTAGCATTCTGCTAAGGAGATTGCAAAGACAGAAAGACATCCCACCCTTTTATATAAGCAAGCAAATGGGACCCATTCATTGCATACATGTTCTCTAACTCAAGTAAGAGGACATGACAGCACCATTTGTCAAGCATAATTCCTCCTAAATTCACCTGGTAATTGGGGTGGCCATTTATGTTTGCTAATTGCCTTTATAAAAAGGAAAAATAAAACTGAAGTCTCTAGGACAGCAGGTAGTTTTACAACTTGGAGCCAGGTGCTTACGTGAAACTACTACCCACTGACAGTGGGAGGTAGGGAGCTATCTTCCTTGATGTCTACATTTTCAAAGAGATGGCTTCCAGACCCTTGCAGGAAAAGAGTCCTAGGTTGTAAAATCGACTGGAGCCTTACTTAGCTTTTTAAAAGATTTATATACATTTCAAAGGGGCAGCAAAATACTTTACAATTTTTCTAAAGGAAATGCTCTAAGTAAAAGGAAGAAGCTCTTCCCCTTTTTGCATGGGCTTGTGGGATAACATTCTGGAATTCATGAGGAGCATGAATTGGTTTCCTCCCTCCACGTGCTGGAGGGCACTGTGTATGAAGCTTGGCAAGGCTGCAGTCAGGGGTGGACAATCACTGGGAATTCCACGCATCAAAGGGACAAGGGACAATCACTGGGTCCATCCTATACTTCAGAGGGACAAGACCCAATGAATGTAGAACTGGGCCACAGTTTCTCTTGGTTCTCAAAGCATGCTGGCCCACACATGATAGGTTATCATTAAATGTCTGATGAGTGAGTGAATGAATGTCAGGAGCCTGAGAGACTTTAGAGGTTATTTACCTCAGCTGAAATTCAGGCATCCCTTTCCCTAGGCTCTCCTTAAATACCAGCAGTGCTGGCGATCCCACCGCTTGCCAAAGCAACCCATTTTACTGGATAACTAATTATTATAACATTTTTCATATCTCAATAAAGAGAGAAAACAAAATCAGAGTACTTTCAAGGGCAAGGTGCTTTTTTCAAAACAATCCCAAGAAGCAAGTATCCCAAGTCACAGAGGAGGGAACTCAAAAACAGAGACTTTAACTAACAGCCCAGGGTCACACAGCTAAAGGGAAATCACATGTACCGAGTGTTCTGCATCAGGCCCTCATTTAAATAAAGATCCTTTCACTCACAAGGGTTTACCATACAAATATTACAGCATGTCTAGATGGGGTCACCCCCTTTGTCTCCCAAGGAATGGAGCTGCCAGAGAGTTCCAGCTGCCTCAGATTCTCCCTGATCTCTCAGGGATGCTGAGTGTTTTCCCTCAAGCAGGGTTTCCACAGGCGAATGCCGAGGGGAGGCTAAGTATGGGGCCAAAATGCCCACAGCACATAGGTGTCATTCCAGGCAGCACTGAGGGGAAGCAGAACCAGGGGATGGCCCTTGGGGCCTTCCTTCGCAGGAACACCACTCACCACAGAGTTCCAGGCGATCAGTGGGTCATGTGAGTCAAGGGCAAGTGAGTGAATGACACTGATATGCTTCAGGTAGGGAGAAGCCATGGTGGGCAGCATTGGAGGGAGGGGAAAGAGGGGGCGAGGAGGGGGTGGAGATAGTATTTGTCTACTTATTCATCTGATGACTATTTACCTACTGTGTGACAGCTTTTCCAGTCCTTAGTCTGAGGAAAAACCCTGTGCTGAGCACTGGGTTCTATTAGTTTTATGAGTATTACCCCATTTAATCCTCACTACAGACCCAGGAAGTAGATGCTCGTGTTATTCCCATTTTACAAGTGAGCAGATGCAGGGAGAGAAAGGCAAAATAACTCACCCAGGACCACACAGTTTGTGAGTGGCAGCGCTGGGATTCTGGCCAGCAGTCATAGTCGACACTCAACCAGGGCCCTCTGCTGGGCAACTAGAAATTGTGTGTGATTTGTGGTCTACTTGGGGAGCCAGAGCCTCTTGGGGGGTCCTGGGAGGGCATGGTCGGCTATGGGACAGACCATTCAACGATGTTGTTTGAGGAGCCTTGTCAGGTCTTAACCATACCAAAGCATTGTATTGCATGCCTCCACCCGCCCTGGGACTAGGACCAGGTCACACACTGCACAAGATTCCAGTGGGAACAACGAATAGACCCCTGCACACCCATGTGCATCAGTGGAGGACTGTGGATGCCGTGTGCCCCCACTCCTCCCTCCCAACAGCTGCTTCCAGGCATCTTCTAGCTGGGGAAATGGCCATTGCCTTCAGCCCACAGCAGACTTAGCCTACCCTTGAATGCTGCTGGAAAAAAAGAAAGGACTAAATGCGTCCCCTGTTCTATTCCTAGTCCAGATTCTTAAGGATGAGGACACAGCATCCTGGGCCACTGTCACTAATACAAATTTGCCTCTGAGGGACTCTATGAAAGATAATTCCGCTGAAATTTGGAGAGTTGAATTAAGCTAGGACTGAGTGTGCCTGGAATTTGTGGCGGCCACCTACTCTAGAGGGCCTCAAGGAAAACCATGGTTCAGGACAACTCTGATAGATTCTAGAGTCTAGAACAGAACACCTGTTCTACCAGGGATGGATTTGAACATGGGCAAGGCCAACCACCAAGTTCATGGCCTGTGTACAGCAAAGATTACGTTACATCCTGAGAGCTAAGCCTGGAAGCTCTTTCGTCCATCTGTTTGTCCATCCATCCAACCATCCATCCCTCCATCTGCTCAACAAATGTTAGAGAATCAATCCCTGTGTCAGATACTGGGGCTGCCCTCAAGGAGCTTTTATAAAGTTCAGGGTACAGCCTGGTGGGGGAGACAGATCACTGTAAAAACCTACCACTATAATCCAAAGGACAAGAGCAAAAATAGTAAAGAGGAGAGAAGACTCAAGTTTCCCTGGTGGGTCAGAGAGGGCTTTCTAGAGCAGGTGAAAAATCTTTGGGGCTATCGCTTCACCTCATCCGGTGGATAACGGGAGGACTTTCCAGATACAGTGGACAGAATGTGCAGAGGCAGGAGCCATGAGTGGCAGAGGCAGGGCAGGGACTGCAGGGACAGGCTGGAGCCGAAGCACGATGGCACTGGAGCCATAGCCAAAGGAACAAACCGTGAGACCTGGGACTTGAGTTTGGAGGCGGTGAAAAGTGACAACAAGGTTCTTCGCAGAAGAGTGATTTTATTCAACTTATGGAAGGTTGACCCCAGACCAGTGCTGCCGAAGTGTGGTCTGTGGGCTGTTAGCAGTTCATGACAACGTAAGTACAGAAATTGAGAGTGAGCATTTAGAATACCTACAGCACTTTGATAGTCATTTCACTTTTTATATTTTGAGCTGGCATTTTGCATACCTGTTTATTCTACCTTTTTTTTTTTTTTTTTTTTTTGAGACTGAGTCCCGCTCTGTTGCCCAGGCTGGAGTGCAGTGGCCCAATCTCTGCTCACTGCAAGCTCCGCCTCCCGGGTTCACACCGTTCTCCTGCCTAAGCCTCCTGAGTAGCTGCAATTACAGGCGCCTGCCACCATGCCCAGCTAATTCTTTGTATTTTTAGTAGAGACATGGTTTCACCATGTTAGCCAGGATGGTCTCAATCTCCTGACCTTGTGATCTGCCCACCTTGACCTCCCAAAGTGCTGGGATTACAGGTGTGAGCCACCGTGCCCCGCCTTATTCTATTTTTCTAATAGTTGCACTTTATCATATTTTACAAATGTGTGGGTCTGCTATGGATTAGAAATAAGAGATTTTGCCACAGATAGTTTGAGAAGCCCAGCATTGCCACTCAACAAATGCTGGTGCATTCAGATGGTGAAATATTCTGCAGCTATTAAAGGAGTTAAAACTGCCTCCACTTTCCTGGATGCCCATCTGTGACACCCTTTTAGGTTAAAAGGAAAAGAAAAACTTGCTTAGAACTGAATATGAGTGGTTGCAATTTTGTAACAATGATGTATATACATATACATTTTCATATATTTGTATGAACATAAAATTTTGAAGGATATTCATCAAACTGCTGAAAGGGTTGCTTCAGAGTAACAGACTTGGAGAAGGCAGATTAATTTTCTCTTAATGGAACTCTGTATTGTATCATTTGTAAAAATAAGCATGTGTTACCTTTATGATAAAAAAGTAAAAACCTAAAAAAGAAAATTTTGATGTGTGTTAAAATTTTGGATTTCTAGGCTCCACCTTTTTGAATGAGTCTCTCCAAGAGTGGGGCCCTCACATGTATAGTGAGAAAAAGCTCCCCAATTACAGGATGTTACCAAGCCCCGCTGGGTGTAGCAACCCTGCATGGTGCCCACCTGAGCCTCAGCAGCTCCTCCCCATCATGGGCATGATGAGGTCTCCCTGTGGGGTGTTGTGAAGACGACAGGACAGGCTGCAGTAGGCACTGAATAAATGTGAGTCCCTTCCCCTGATGACCCTGAGGCTATGGGATCATCATCACTCCCACCCCGAAGCCACACCTGATTACTCCAGCCGGCACTCGGCCTGCCCCTTTTCTGAATGCTTTTTGATTTTAGCTTACATTTTTAGCATTTAAATGTTTCATTTAATTTGAGAAAGAGTCTTGCTCTGTCACCCAGGCTGGAGTGCAGTGGTGCGATCTCGGCTCACTGCAATCTCCACCTCCCGGGTTCAAGCAATTCTCCTGCCTCAGCCTCCCAAGTAGCTGGGATTACAGGTGCCCACCACCACATGTGGCTAATTTTGTACTTTTAGTAGAGATGAGATTTTGCCATGTTGGCCAGGCTGGTCTCGAATTCCTGACCTCAAGTGGTCCACCTGCCCTCCACCACAGCTGGCTTCATTCAATTTGTATTTTGTATCTCTGTGGACAAGACTTCAAAGGTGTCTATCACATACTTTCAGATCTACTGATCATCTTCTGAAAACCAACATCAGGGTTCACAAAATGGATTTAACCAATTGGGCTCCCCAGTTCTTCTTCCAGACTCCACCCCTCCAACAGTGTCTCCAATGACTTCCTGGCATCACCGAACAGGTCCTTCACTTGGCCACCTCTGAGCCTTTGCTTGAGTGTTTTCTTTTACCTGGAAAATCCTTTCCAACCCTGTACACCGACTGAGTCAAACCTTCTGTCTTCTTTTTGAACTAACATTTATGAGCGCCTATCATGAGCCATGCATTATGCAAGGGACCTTACAAACACTATCAGTCTGTGTAACAATCCTGCCAAGTATGCTTTATTTTGTGCATGGGGAAACTGAGGCTCAAGAGAAGTGACCTGCCCCAGGTTTCAGTACCAGCACACTAGTGGAGCTGGGATTTGAACCCAGGTTTGGCTCTAACCCTGGATTCAGCTTCCTTGCAGACCCCAGCACCTCACATACAGCCCTGCACTGACCAGCAGCTGGAGGGAAACCACCCTTGTGGCTTAAAAGCTGTGGCGCCACAGGTCATTCCACTCGGTCACACCCTGAAGACCGCAGAATTGCATTGACCACAGCAGCTCCTAGGCACAGGATCGTCACCTCAGGGCACATGACTCCTCCTAGAGTTGCAGATTATAAACTGTTCTGTTTTCCTGTCCTCAGGCCTCTGCTGAAGTAGCCCAAATGCCAGGGACATTTCTGCCCGCTCCACTCTGACCCTAGCTGCTCAATGTGCCTGCCAGGCCTTGCAAGGGATGCTGTGCCAGTGTGAGGAGGAAGGTAGTCTCCAGCTTTCACCCCATAGAAGCTGTCTGCCTCAGTTTCCCTAACCTGGAACACCGCTATGACTCCTGAGTTGAAAAACACTGTTTACAGCCTCTAGGCTGAAATTAGCAGAATGCCTGGGCTCCAAGCCAGGGAGATTTGGGGTGATGGGAAGGTGCAAGAGCACAGCCAGACAGAGCCAAAAGCAATAATATCCTGTTTGTTCCTACACTGCCCTCCCCACTAAATAAACAAGGACAGCTGCATCAAGCCCTTTTGTTAAGTGGCCACACAAGCTGCACATTTCTTGGTCCCAGGCAGGCATACCGGGAGTTCAGATCCCGGTCTAATGGTCTTCTCTGGTTCTGTGACATCCTGGAATGTGAAAGGGAGGCCTTGGGTTCTGTCACTGCCTCCAGCCTGAGCCCCCTGTGCTTCCTGGGCATCCCGGATGGACCATGTCTGCCTTTCTGCTGACTCAGACTTATTTCTGGTCCAGCCATTCAGTGTCCCTGTGTGTGAACTCCTCAGCCAGAGGGCAGGTGGAAGGCCCGGAGGAGGACCACATGTCTTCTTTCCATCCAGAGAGTCACCCCAAAACAGAGGACGTCCTTGGGCTTGGACCAGCTCCACAGAACACACTGAACAAATTCTCACGATGCCAGGCGCCTAGGCCAGCAGAAAATGCCTCTCCCCTCCCAGTTCTAAGACAGCAAAGGGTTTGCGTTACCTCACAAGCACTGGGTACACAGCCAACCTTAATGGGCACTCTTGGCATCACTGTTCTACTCAGCAAATAGACAGTCCTAGGCAGGAGATATTTAGAATCCTACTCCGTAAAACAGAGGCCTTTCCTAGGCCTCCTGTAATGAAGGCATGGGACTGTTACCAGACTTGTCCCTCAAGGGATAAATTGTTTACAAGAAAACAGGAAGCTAGGAGCCATCTAGTCCTTTTAAATGCTGTGAAGAAGTGGGCTGCCTTCTTCCCCGCCCAAGGGAGGGAGTCTCTGAGACTTCCCAGGCAGGGTTGGTGTGACCTCCAGCAGTCACCTTCAGCATGGGTTGCTGCTGGATTCCTGGCTCTGTGGGCAGAAGCTCCGAGAATGCTTGACACAGGCTGTATCGGGGGTTCCTTTGGGAAGACAAATGGAGCCTGCTCTGGGCTATGGCAGAGATGGAGGCCCAGGGCCTCTGAGTTAGGGGCAAAGTCAGTCCCCCTCCTGTGTCCGAAACCCCAGGACTCCTCATTCTGTATGGCACTCCCCCAACCCACAGTTTCCTTAGGAAAACTGACCTGGCTATGGGCCATTTCCTTGTGAGGTGATTTGGTCATGAGGCTGGCAGAGTCCATGGGGTGCATGTGGCACTCCTGTGCTTTGCTGGGACAGTACCTTAACCCACAGGCATTATTAACTCCAAAGTGTGGGGTCTTGGGAGAAGGTGCCTATCAATGCAGAGGAAGTGAGGTGCCCACACCACCAAACAAGGCCCAGAGCCTCCTGGAAGAGCCTGTCAGGAAGCCTCAGGCCACATGCTGTGGCCGTGCTTGCCTCCCTGAGAGGACAGACAGAACAGACCAAGGACACGAATTCAGAACAGAGAAAATGTGAGAGCCATAGACAGGAAAAGCAGCCCTTCTGGAAACAGCGCACTGGTGTACCTAGCGTCACCTTGTCCTGAGGGCACTGACTGCCCCTCACTTGACTCGGCTGACACTGTGAGGGGTCACGAGCCTGGCAACACTTTCTGAAAGGTCTAAAGGGCAGCACTGAGGAGACCTAAAGGTTTTGCTGTTTGTCAAATGTCACCCTTCTTCACATTCGGAGGAGAGCATTTGAAGGCAGACCACTTGAGGGACAAGGACAGGACTGATTTTAACCCCAGGACTACCAAGCAAGCAAGCTAGCAAAGACTAGGCCTCTGCCCAGGTGCAACACATGGGGCCAATTCCGCAGGTTTTTGTTGTTTTTTAAAATTAACCTCCAGTGGGAAAGGTAAGGATGGCAGGGAGGGGAGATAGTTACTTGGCTCATTATCAATGTGTTCATGTTAGTGATGGCAAAACTGAATCTCTAGCAATACTATTTGCCAGTTTAAACTGGGCCTGGCTATTGGGCTTATTAGTAAATAGCTTCTCAAAATTTTAATTTTCTAGTTAGTTCATCCCAAGTCACTGATTTACACGTCTTTTGAGACTGAGACTGCTGGGGAAAAACATTCCCAGAAATCAGTGGATTAGACTCTAAATTACAAGGGAAAGACATTTGAAGTTTAAAGTTGTCCCAAACTTAGCGTCAAAATACAGCCTTTAGAATTTTTTTTTTTTTTTCAAATCAAGAAAAAGTCCTGATTCACTACCAAAAAGAGACTCTGCAGGCAGCGTGCTGATTTGTTCTGCTCCTGGTGCTGAGCTGCCCCCACCTGTGTGCAGGGAGGAGGGGGTGCTTCGGCCAAGGGCGGGCGCTCTGCTGGCTTTAGCGAGTCACCATTGCCTCCTCGCAGTCAGCGTCCTAACGGGGTCCCGGTCCACAGCCCTGCATCCACTCCTCCAAGGCCCTTCACACTGGCTCTAGCCATGACCCCTCTTTGGAGGAATAAAGCAGAGTTTCACGGACTCACCGACCTTGAAGCCGGAGTCTCCCACGTCCTGCTGAGCGCACACAGCGAAGAAGTGTATGTAGGGCGAGCTGGCCGGGCGGGCCTGGAAAAGCCTCCCTGGCGGGGCGGGGCCAGAGGACCTCGCCAATCCCAGCGCAGACCTCCGGGCGCACCGGCCCCCACAGCTGTACGGTTGAAGGCAGGCCCCTGGGCGCTTGGCTCTTCATAGCACCTGCCCTTTCTCTGAAACATAAAAGGAGGAGCCAATCTTGCTCTCCAGGCCTGGTCCTGAAGGCTTCTCTGCCAGGGCTCTGGATCTCAGAATGGAAGGCCCAGCGGGTGAAATTGCGTATCTGTTGGGGGATTTGTTTCCCTCTTCTCTCAGGTGTACCAGCCTTGGGGCCCTGGTGAGCTCTGGAGGGTGAACCCCTCAAGCCAAGATCGGAGAGGAGGATATCTCAAGCTGCCTGGCTCCAGCAGCTGACCGGGCCCTGAGCCAGGGGCTGGAGGGACCTCTTTCCAGCGTCTTTGTCTGGGGCCTAGATCCAGGGACAATTACAGTCACGTTTCTGTTCAAGATCAGGCCATCTGCAGTAGACGGCTAGATCATCTCGCTTTCTGTCCACACCAGCTTAACCCACGGCAGGCCATAGCCCTGCTTAAAAATAGTCCTACTTGGGATATCCACCGCACGCCGGGAAGGTTGCCTGTAAATAGCAATGACCCAGAAGGATTTTGGACAGCAGCCCTGCCATTTCAAGGGAGCCTGCCTAGGCATCTGGTGACCGTCACGTACTCGGCTTCTGAGGCCACGTGGACATGACCAACTGGTTCCTGTCTCTTACTTCTCAGAGCCTAGCTCATACTCAAAGGACTTGATGGAGCAGGGGGTGGAGCCCCAGGAATAACCTTCTACCCAGTGTGCTTTCTCCTTCAGAGTTTCCATTTCTTTAAAACACGACCCATGTTTAAAAATATCATCGAATTTACCTTTGCATGGGGTATTGATTGGGAGAGCACATGAAGGGGCCTTTTGGCAGGACGGAAAGGTTCCTGATTGGGGTGGTTCTATAAAGATTGGGACCAATGAAATTAATTTCGTAGTCCTTTAAGGAGTCAAGACCCACCAGCTTGCATATTCCGTCATCAGGGCAGCCTCGGTTTATTCCTCCTCAAAATAGCTCTTTTCCACACACACTTGTTTCAAGTCAGTTCAGGCACCAAGTGAAATAAATCCAGTGACCCTGAAATAGCCCAGCTTCCAGATCCAGAAAATTACAAGGCTTTTGAAGAGCATGAAATTGTAGATTTAAAGGATGGCAGTTATAGCAAAAACCTCCTTTTCCTCCCCAATTGCCTAATCAGCATTTAGGGCCCCCTCCACTCACCCTACCTCAACACCTTATATTTTACAGAGTAAATGTATATGTTAGTAAGGTCAGAAGAAAAGTTGGGTTATTGTTGAGAAAAGAGAGTACCACTCTTCTTTTGGGGGCCTGGTCCTCTTCAAGCATATTATACAGGTGGTGTGATGGGGACAAAATCTCTACAAGGGACTCACAGTAGAAATTCTGGCTTTCTGGAAATCTTTCAAATGCCATCTCTGTCACATGCCATCCATTCCCTTCTTATTGTTGCCAAATCCCTTTGAAGCTCTGGGGCTCTAGCCACACCAGGCTGCCCTGTGGCTGGCTTCTGCCACAGGGGCAGGAACAGAATTGAAGTATGCGACTGCCATATCATTTGCTTTAAAGGAAAATGTCCTGGACTTATTCTCTTTTCTCTTCCTGGGTCCAGCAGGAGTGTGGCTAGAGCAGGCCCCAAATTTGACCTCGTAGGCAAGGACGATGCCTTGTGGGATGGGCAAATAATAGGATGAAAGAAACCTGGGTTCCTGTGTCCCACCAGCCTGGATTGCTCATTTCAGAATTGGGCAGGAGGAACCCCTTTCCTTAGTCTATTCTTGCGTCCAGCAACTGTAACTTAATTCCATCAGCTCTAAATGTTACCACAACTTCATAGAAGTTAAAGTATTTTCATATATAGTAATCCATATAACCACTGCAGTAATTTTAGGGGTAGATAGGAGTCTTATTTCAGAAGCCCCTCCTAGGTGGAGCTTCTCCTGTCTCCACCACCCATTCAGGAGCGTTGAGCTGCCATGCAATGGACTGAGCTGTTCTGGGTAGTAGTGAGTTCTCTGTGCCTGGAGGTAATCAAATATGGGCTGGGGATGTCACAGGAAGAATCTAAGCACTGGAAAGAAAGTGTGATTAGTTGATCCTTCATATCATTTCAAAGCTTTCCCCAAATTCTTTGAATTTTAGGGCCTCTTCTAAACTGTTTTTCTCCCTGAACTTTAGAAGTAATATTTAGAAGTAAAATAATATATCTGAAGGAATTCACTGCTATGAAGAAGATGTAAAATAAAAATAAAGCCCCTAGGCCCCCAGGCAAAACAAAACAGACTCATTGTGGTAAAAGAGACCCCAAAAAACATTAAAAACCAGGATTCTACAGCTTTGGCAAGGCAAGAGGTCAGTCACACCCAACGTTCCCCCACCTCAATAACTGCCTCAAGACTTTCTTTCCTACAGTTAAACTAAAAACAGTTCCTGAAAACTGTGTCTGGAAGATTTCTTCCTCAACTTCAACAGACAGACAACCTGACTTGGCGAACCCCCCTTCCCTCAATGCAGTTTCCCCATGACAAGTGTTGAGCCTTACGAAGCACTCCGTCCTCATAACTGACTGCAGACCGCAGCCGGTTCTGGCCAGTTTACAGAGACTGCACACCAAGTGTCTTTGTGCCCCGTGTTTCATCTTTTGAGGTATACAGTCCAATTTTACTACATTTTAATGTTAAGTCTCCATCCCAAAGTGAACATGGGTTGTATGTAACATGTATGATTACTATGCATGCATTAGGGCCTCATAAATATTCATAAGATTATCCTATAACCTACTAAATGTATATGTATGGCTCATCTCATTGGGCATAAATCTCAGCCTCTCCCTTTTTCTCTGAAGTGCTTGCTTTTGGCTTTGGCCAGAGGCTCCAGCCTGCAGACTGTAACCCTTTATAAGAAATAAAGTTCTATTTTTTTCTAAATGTATACATTTCATGGTTTTGACAATGTAGAAAAATGAGGAAAAGAGTTAAATGAAGAAACCAATGAGATTTCTGAATATTCAAGAAAGGTGAAGTTTAATTTGCATATAGGCATAACCTACACCTCACCTGGCAAGTGTTAGGCCACAGCACAAACCCCTCTGTCCAATCACAGGTGTCCACAAATTTGCAAAGTAACTGGACACGAACAATATGCTTCTCAAACTCACACACATATTCGTCCATCGCACACACACTCAAATGATAAAGAAATACATTGAAATCCTCTACAAGAGAGCTGAGCATAGTAATCAGATTACCTCACATGCGGACAGCACTTTGCACTTTACACTCTAATCCATTTGGTCCTCACAATAGCCCTGTGAGGTAAGCAGCACAGGGATTACTATTCACACCATTTTGCAGATGAGGAAACTGAGGCTCAGGGATGTATAAACACCAGCCTAAGGTTTTCCAGCTGGAGACTGGGCCTAGGACTCAGGGCTGGGATGCCCAGGTCAGCTCTCTTTCATAACTGGCTTTCTAGTGAAAAATGAAATGAGCTGTGTAAAAACCAACATCATTAAGTATAATAGAACTATCATTTTCCTTGAGCAGATCAGACCAAGTACAGTCAATCCTAATGTTAATGTCATGCTGCATGATGAATAATTTTCTGAATCGTTCATGTGTTTATTCCTACAACAAAATGACTGTTTTCCATTTTGGCTCTGCCTCGTCTTAATTTTAAGTCACCAATGGCCGATGAGAAATGGCACACTGATTAGATTTCATTAAGTCTTCTTACCAGAATTACATGGTGGTATCTATAATAGAGCCATTATTTAAACTTACAGTCTGATTTCTTACTGAAATGAAAATGATTCTTATTTATTGATTCCCTCTGGCTGTGGACATTAGCCTGGCTCTACCCTTCAGCCATAAATAGGATGTTCTCTTTTATGCCATTTCAATAGTTGTAAAAATAATACATTTTGCAATTGTATTTTTAAAAACCTTTATACTTTCAAGTGAAGAGATTTTTTTTTTCAAGGGGATAAAATCAAACTTTGGAAAAAAAAAGCTAAGTAAAATCTCTTGCTTTTAAATAAAAGTTATTTTTATTGGGAATAATCCCTGTATTGCATTACTGCTTTTAGTTAAGAATTTTAAAGCTGCCCAATCACTGCTGGCCCAAAAGCCTTGTCGTATGCAATAACATGAGAGAAAGGGCGCCGATCCATCATTACTCACTCCACATGGGACCATAATGGATTTTTCTCTTCCAAGTGATTCAGTTTCTCTGAGTTTCATTTGTTTATAAGTAGTACTTTCAGACGTACTGCAATTTAACACACAGTAATAGGACTTGGTGTGAGAGCCACTTGAAAATATTGCAACGGCCGTTTAAAATTCCCTCTTTAAATTCCTTCAGAAAAACACTAAGGAAAAGTGACAACGCTTTACTTCATGCCTGAATCTGTCAAATAATATATTGGATTAGGTAAGAGATTTCTCCCTGTAGCAAAACTAGATGTCTCAGTTAATAACCAAAGGCATCCCCTAAAAGCTCCAAGATAATTCCGTTGACAGTACAAAATGTGGGCATTCATTCGAAAGCCTGAAATTGGATTTTACTTCTGATTTTCTAGGTTAATTTTACAGTATACATGTTCGCTACTTGGCTGTTAGAGGTTGACCTCCCATCTCCTCTTATTTATGGACTAGAGGCAGATGCAGCTGGGAATGCCGGCTTTGTGTGTAGGCAGAAGAGAACGGGCACTTTAACAACACTGCAAATTGCTCTTGGGGATTTTTAATTTGACCAAATTGAAGGTGTTTTGAAATGTGCATTCCTCTCCCAGCTGGCACACGAATAGTGCAGGTCATCAACAGACAGTCCCTCAGAGGCGGAGCTCTCTCTCTTGCTCTCTTGCAGCTCCAGGAAGGCTGCAGACTCCAGAAGGTGGTGTAATTCTCAAACAAAAATGTGAAGGGCTAGCAAGTGGCGCACCCCTGCAGTCCCAGCTGCTTGAGAG